CGGGCGAGGGGCTGTGTCGGGGGGTGGGCATGCGGCAGCGTGCTGGCTGGCTGGCGGGCGAGGGGCTGTGTCGGGGGGTGGGCATGGGGCAGCGTGCTGGCTGGCTGGCGGGCGAGGGGCTGTGTCGGGGGGTCGGGGGGCAGCGTGGGGCTGTGTAGCGGGGAGAGGGCAGGGAGACAGGGCTGAGAGGGAGGCTGTGGGGCCTCGCCCCGCTGACGGATCAGAGCCGGGGGGCAGCGGGTTGGTGGATCAGAGCCGGGGCGAGGCCGGGGGGCAGCATCTGCACTGAGATTGGGGGCCGGGAAGCCAGGCACTGCTCACAGGCAGGGTGGTTCTGGCTGACAATGGGGGCCGTGCCGACCAGTGGGGCAGGAGGTGGTCCCCTGAGCCCCTCTCCCTGTAACCGGCTCTCTCCCCCTCTCCGCAGAGGCCCAGATCTTGTAGCAGGACCTGCAGACACCGCCGCTCGCCCGCCCCACCGCAGCCCCCAGCCCAGGACTGCCCCCTGCCCCTGCCAGCGCTGCGCCCGGACCCCTGGACAGACACTCGCTGGCATGGCGGGAGATGGGCCCGGCGCTCGGAGGGCACTGCCGGCGTCCGGGAGCAGCAGGGGCAGACGACGGGGTCGGTGCCATAGTCCGTCCCTGCGCCGTGGGTGCTGCCGTTGGTGCCAGCGTGTGGACCTGAGCCGGATCCGCGCCCGGGGGGACCAGTCTGGGGGGCGAGGCGGGGGCGACGCCGAGGATCCCGGGCTCATGGAGAGGGGACATGAGGACCCCAACCCAGCCCCCCTCTGCTGCTGGGGTCCTGGCGGATCCGTGGACACTGGAAGCCCGGTTTGGGGTGCCGGTGGGCGTGTGAGGGTGACACTGACCCCTCCCCAACCTGAACCCCCACCCTCCTGTAGCTGGGGAGACTCTCCCCCCCCCCCCGGGCTTGTCCGGCCCCTCGGGGCAGCGCGCCGGGATCCCAATAAAGGGGGTTGTGACAGCGGGGTCCAGGCCAGCTCTCTCTGCCCAGCGCCGTGGGGCAGCTCTGCTGAGGGTCAGAGCCAGTGGGGGATGGGCTGGTTATTGCTCAACCCCCCCGGAAAAGAGGCCTGAGGGGCGGCCACCTGCGCGCCAGTCTTCAGGCCCCCACGCCAGCCCTGCTGCTGCTTGTTCCAGGTGCCCTGGGGC